CCACTCACGAGAACGTCACACTATTTAAACCTGGTGACTCGTCAGCCACAAATCTCACAGGCCCTGACAGTGGCTGATCTAGAAATAAATTTAGTTGGGGGTATCATTTTATAAACAAGAAACAAAAAATTTAGTTGGAGGCAAACTTTTATTTTTACCACTAAATTCAAAATAGTTTAATTAAATTTACCTAAATTATTTAAAAAAATTAAAAATTAGTAGGGGGCACGTGACTCCATTCGGCGTGCACTACCTCCGCCCATGGCCCTTCAGCCCTTGTACTCGCCATACTTCCTCTGTGTATGCTCCAGCCATGATCCCACTTCGCTAAACATCCTTCGTGAAGACCATCAAGCAATCCGTTCATAGGCCGGAATCAACCATGCGCTCTAACACGCTTAGACTAACACCAATCAACAATATATACAACAGTTCTCAAAAAGTCATTCATGTTCGTTTTAATTACCAATCAATCTCTAATTCTAGGTTCAGCACACACATATACAACTATGTCTAAGACAACCTACAGATCCACAAGTCCCGCCTCACTTTTGCTACTTGATGATGAATAACGAATATAGTTCACATTCGGACAGATTTGACATCCAACATAAAAACGATCATAACTTTCTTGTCACAGCTTGGAATGGGTATCGGAAGATTGATATGGAAAGCTGGATTGAAGATCTTCACACCAGTATGTAGATCGTTGTCTGTAACTCCCTGGATCGCTGGCAAAAGGCATCGCAAATTGGCTGCTCGCGGATCGAATCTTTGCAAATATGGCTCGGGAAAACACTCATAACTTTTAGAAGACAACTCTAAATAATGATTCGTTTGCGGCTATAGCTAGATATGAGGGTCTAGAATCACCCGATCTGGTTTGACCACCCGATTATCTCTCACGCCAGAACACGTCGGATCAGCCTTCTAGGTTGCTGTAATAGCTTATTCTTCGAAGTGTTTTGATGTGGCTGGTCAAGCGTCATTCCGGCAGGGCTTTGGCGCTCTGATCTTTGTTTCCTCTCTGCCGCGGTCTCTATCTTTTTATAGAATGGAAAAAAAAATCCTAGATCTGATCGCAGAAAGTCGGAATTGCCTTTAATGAAATTTTTGGATGTCACAAATACATTCGCCAAAAAATTGTTGTTATTTATTTCTAGGGGTGGCCAATCCAAGAAATCCAATCCAAACCAGCCTAATCCAATCCAATTTAACTCATTTAGTTTGGATATGAGCTTTTATAAAAACTTATTTAAGTCTACTAATTTGGTTTTGGGTTATTTGGATTGGTCATTAAATAACTCAAATAACCCAAATAACACTCACCTTTGAGATAGTATAATGATTTTGTTTCATTTCTCGATTTTATATTTTACAATATCAAATAATGGTTTTGTTTTATTTCTAGATTTTTTATAAAAAAATATTGCAATTAACATTAAAAAATTATTTTATATGTTATCATATATATTATAAGCAAAGTAAATCATATATATTATAAGCAAAGTAAAATTTGAGTTAAAGCGCTCTCATTCAATTTTAGGATGGTTAATTACCCTTTACTCCTTCTTATATTTTTTAAATTAATTTTAATAACAAAATTATTAAAAATTGTAAATTAATTAAAAAATATTAATAATTATAATTAAATAAAAATATTAAAAATCGTAATTAAATAAAAATATTAAAAATCGTAAATTAATAAAAAACTGTTAAAAATCGAAATTTAATAAAAAAATATTTAAATTTAATAAAAATTATTAAAAATCGAAATTTAATCAAAAAATATTTAAAATTGAAAATAACAAAAATTAAAAAATTAGAATTTAATCAAATAAAACATTTAGAATCATATCATATATAATATATGCAAAGTAAATTTTTCGCTATAAGGTCTCTCATTCTATCTAGGTAACTAATTCCACTTTATTCATTAATAAAATCTTTTTAATTCCCCTTTATTCGTTAATCGGATTATCTGTTGAGCGAGATTATCTGAAAAAAAATGTACATGTAATGTGGGAAATCCTAGCTTAAGTTGAGAGCTACATATAAATATATTACTTTTTTAAATGTATCTTAAGCTCAATTGTGGTTTGGTTTTTATATTAGTCGGCTTTTTGTTGTATTGTTTACCGTCTTTATTTTTTATAAATCAATTTTTCGTTTTTTCTATTGTTTTTTCCGTTTTTTCAGTACCAGTAGTAGTGTTCCTCGATTATATGTTGTTGTTATGTGTTGTCAGTTATTCTTCCTTACTTAACGTAATTAAAACCATGTCAACATATCATAAATCATCTTCATTGTCTAATGAACAGGTTTTAAATCTTTTGTTTTTTTTGCTTGTTTTAAAGATGGCTTTCTGAATTCTGCTTATTTTTGGAATAATGTAAGAGATGCCAAATACTCTAGCAGAACGCAGAGGAAAAAACCAACAAAAGAAAACAGAAAAAGGGAAAAAAGGAAAAACGAAGTAGAAAAAGAAGAGAAAAAGATAAACTGAAACATACAAAAGAACATAAAGTTGACGAAAACGTAAAAAATGAGGAAAAAATTAACAAAAAGTCCTAGACCATGAACGATAAGATCAAGATGGGTAACACAAAATAGTGAAAAACAAAAATGATAAGGAGATGAAAAACTCAAATTTGAAGAAGAAAACTGAAAGAAAAATAAGAACAAAAATGGTAGATGAAGAAAATAAAGTATAAGAAGATGAAAACCCGACGATGAAAAAGAAAATAAAAAAGAAGAAAGTAAAGATGCGAAAAGGACAAACAAAAATTAGAAAGAAAAAAAAGTTGGATAAGACAAAAATGACAAAGAAGAAGTAAAAAGCAGAAGATAAAAACGGCTAATAAAACCAAAAGAAGAATAGTAGAAGATGTTGAAGAATAAGAATTTAGAGAATACAAAGACCATAAAATAAAACAAAGAATAAGGGGCAGACAAATAAAACAAAAAAAAATCAAACAGAAAAAAACGAAGAAAAAACCGAATGAAAAAAAATCAAGAAGTCAAAGAAGATTAATACAATACATAAGAAAAAATAGTCAAAAACAATAAAAGATAAGAAGGAAAAAACAAAGAATAGAAAAGCTAAAAAATAAAGAAAAAGGAGAAGAATAAGAAAACAACGATAATGTGAACAAAAAATAATACGGTGAACAAGTAAGATAAAAAAAATACTCGGATAGGTCGAAGACGATGAACAAAAAAAATTAAATGACCAATTGGAGAAGAAAAAAGATAATCAGAAGAAGAAGTAATAAAGAAAACCAGTAGATAGTAGAGGAAGTGAAAGAAAAAAAATAATAAAATGGAAGAAAACTAGAAGATGAAGAAGACAAAGTAGAAAAGGTGAATATGATGAAAAAACGAAGACAAATCAGATGAATAAGAAGTAAAAAAAAAAAGATGAAGAAAATATAGAAAAACAATTTGAAAACAAATAACGATAAAAGACCTAAAATTATAAGGAAAAAACTAAAAAGGAGAAAATATAAACCATGAGAGGAGTAAAAAGACAGATAAGACAAAGATCTTTAAAATATGATGAAGAATTTAGAGAGAGGAAGAATAATTGGAAGAAGAGGAATAAGAATCTGTTGAAGGAGAAAAATAAAATAAAATAGAAGACAAAGTAGAAGAAGAAGAAGATAGGGAAGAGAAAAAATTGGATGAAACCTTAAAAGATGAGGAATTGGAGAAAGTAGAAGAATATGAAGATGAGTTAAAAGCCGAAAAACACCAGAAGAATAGAAAGTCGATGATAACGAAGAAGACGATGGCAATGAAAAAGGAAAAGAAAAAAAAAGAAGAAAAAGAATAATAAAACATTGAAGAAGAAGAAGAAATGAAATAAACCTGGAAGAGAAGAAAATCAAAAAATGTATGAGAGGAAAAAAGAAAAAATGTGGAGAAGAAGAAGAAAACGTGAAAAAAGAAAAATCAGCAGAATAAAAGTAAAAAAAAAACATAGAAAGTGAAGAAGAAAAAAAACAAAAAAAAATGATAGAGAAAAAAAAATAAAATATAAAAAGAGAAAAAGATGAATAATTCATATTAATCTTATTTTAGTTTGTGTTTATTGATTTCATACACTTATTAGTATTGATTTTAAAATTTTTAATGTTAGAGAGGGATTATTTTTATAGGTTAGCTTTATTTTAATTTTGTATGTATCTAACTTCTTGATCTAATTATTTTTGATTTATGACATAAAATTTTATTTTACGTTTCAATGAAACTTTTTGGCCTGCGACTTCTAGTTATTTTATAAACATTCAATAACTCAATTTAATATAAGATCTAAATAATCCAAAGAAAACTAGATATAAGTCTATTTTGGATCAAATTATCCAAATAATCCAAACTTGATCTAAAACTTAAAAAATTTGATCCAAATTCTATGTAGATCAAATTTGGTCAAATAATTCTCAAACCAAATAACCTAAACTCAATCCAAAATCTAAGAAACCCAACCCAAAACTTGGATTGGCCACCCCTATTTATTTTGGATCTCTATTGATGATTTTTTTTTCTAAGTGTTAAAAACTTTTTGATATTTTGATTTTTGTAATAAAGTATCATTAAACTAAAAAAAACTAGCACTGAAATTGAGTTTAGGAATAAAGTCTTACCTATACCGTTTTACTTCTTTTCTTACCTTATACAAAGTTAAAGAGAAATCACCGCTGTAATTAATTAAGCACGCAAAAATAGTCGAAGAAGACAAACATGATTAAGAGGATCTCCTCAACTGCCGTGCGCTCTAAGGAAGCAAAACACACACACAAGAAACCTACACACTCTCTCAGTATATTTCTGTATAAAACATACATTTGATGAACACAAACATAAAATTCCTATCTACAAAAGATGTTATCATTACATTTTATCATTTGTTTGTATTGTATACTCACAGTAGCACCTGTAAAAGTGGTTTCTGCAGCTATATCTTTGATTCTATAAACCAAGATGAATTGGTTCTCTTTTCCGTAAAGAATGGGATTAATCCTCTGCATCAGAATCGGACAACAAAGGAAGATAATCAGATTATGTTCCTTGTAACAATTAGAACCAAAGCTAGTATGACTCTTCTTGAGTTTCGAACTCAGCTTAGTCTGAGCTTACCATTTCATCAATTAACACCATCATCGGTTTGATTGTTTTTGAATCCTTCTGCAGATTTATGGTCTTCTTCAGATTTAACCTCTTGCTTCTCCTGAATTGTTCTTGTGGCAACCGAACAAACGGTTTCTACTGTAGTTTTCTCAGTTGGCTCAGAATGTTCCTGCTATAGACAAAACAAATCCACATGTCAAACCAACTACATGTATGTACTTATACAGGAAGTGTATTTTGGATTACGGAATTCAATTTTTACATCTATTTGATTATGAGATGATTCTGCAGGTGGATCCACATTCCGCAGCTGACCATCTGATGTATGATCCATATCCTCAGAATGAGTCTGGCTTAAAGCTAACATGTCTCGTAATACTGATCTTGGAGAAGTAGCAGATTCTTCAGAGGCTCCAAGATGATTTACATTAGAAGCTTCAGCTTCTGCAACTTGTTGCACTTCTTCTTCGTCATTTCTCTCACACGTTTCTTCAGATTCTTGATCAGTCCTCTCTGATGGTTCACGTTCGCCAGAGTCATAACTAATCTTTATCTCATCAGCTGAGTTCTCGGGAAGTTTCTTCAACTCCTGAGATAAAAAGATTTGCAAAGTTATGTTCAAAATCGTAACACTTTCAAGAAAAAAACTTAGCCATTTGCATGAAACATGAACTGACCTCTGCTCTTTGACAGAGAACTTCATCAAGGTGAGTAACCATGGGCTTTGCTTCTTCAATTTCTGGAGATGCTAAAGATTCTGTTTCAGTTAGATCTTGATCAACTTTCCCTACAGGTAAGATTTCAGATTCCCCACCATTAAAACCCATTCCATTTCCGATCTCCGACTCGTATATAAACAAAGATCTCTCTTCATCAGAGGAATCATTCCCATCAACTGAAGTTGGAGGTGATCCGATCTCAGAAACCTCAACTTGAAGGTCAGAGTCAACGGAATGTGTCACCATATGACTTTTCCTTGTGCTGTAACCGAAATGCTCCATATATCTTTGCCTCGCAGTCGCTAGTGAGCTCGAACCGTTGCTTCTAGGCACTAAACCCGCAAGAGATCTTCCAACACGCTCGTTTCGTTTGCAGAATGTTTCAGAAGCATCTGATTGGTCAGAGACATTGAAATCTTTCTCTCTTTCTCGTGGAGAAAGCGTCGTGTTCGAGTCACTATCATCGTTTCTAATGGAATCAGTCTCTACACGTACCTCCCCTGCCTCCATCATTTCTCTTGTAAGATCTCTTTCTTCCATTAGAGGAAGTAGATCGTCGCTACCTAAATCAACAAGAAAAAAACTATGAAATACAGAATTCATAATCTTGATCTGCATTTTGCAACAACAAAACTAGTAAAGACAGTTACAGAAGCTTCTTCCAAGAGGCTTATTAGCGCAATAAAAGCAGAGCTAGTTCCTCTGTTTCAGTCAAAATCTAACCTTTAATAGAAGAAGAGCATATACCTTGCAGTGGCTTAGGCCTACCATCAACTGTCTTTCTCCACAAAGACGCCAAATTGGAATCCTTTTGAGATTCTGACGGGAAGATTCTGTGATGGAAGCTCTCGTGGCGGCAAAAGGAGATGTCTTTAGGGTTAGCTTCTGCAAACTCTTGATGGAAACTATCTCCTGTCAGGTTCGGCTTCTCTTCATGTGGGTCATAAGGAAGGTCAAAAGGGTTTCTTCTCGGTAATAGAACGGAAGGTGCAGAGCCAGGCATGACAAGTCCATCGATTTCGTAGTTTTCTTTATCCAAACCGTAATAGTTTCGACCAACACAAATCCGAGGAACCTCCATATCCATCAGGCTTCTCTCAGCTGCAAATAGGAACAGTCTCCTTGATCGTCTTCTAGAGATCAAATTCTCTAGCCTCTTGTTTCGCTCGATCTCAGATGCCCCAAGATCCATCAAATTCTTCTGATCATCTTCTGTCCACGCTACTACGACCGTGTTTGTTTCCTTTTCTTCTTCTTCCTCTTCTTCCTCTTCTTCTGATGATGATGAGTAATCTACTTCAGCTTCACCATCACCAGCACTTGTTATGTTCTCCATTGGATCCACGACAACAACGTATCCTTCGTTGTCCAGGTTAGACTCAACGAAGCTTTCTTCTGCCACAAGCAATGACCTTTCTCTCTTGAATGTCTCCAGATCAGGAGTGATTGTTTTCTCCGGTGGTAATTCTCCGTAGAGAGTCGTCAGAATAACCTTTCCTCTTTCGTCCTCGCTAGCCTGAGACGAATCCCAATCTTTCCCAACCTCCTCAACTTTCCTTCTGGCATTTCGTCGAACACTTCGTTGGTGTTTTAACTCAGCCGCCTCTGTTCTTCCCTCACCGGAAACAGATCGCTCTCGCGAATCCGAGGATAACCCACGATTCGTTCTCTTTACCTCCTCCGAGGAATCATCGCCGATCTTTGAAATCAGATGATTCCGGAGGTAAAACGAAGCGCAAGCTATCAACGGTGAAGAACAGAGCATGAGATAGAAAACACGAGGAAGAAAAGTGTACAGGAGGATCATAAACGTTGAAACAGCAGAAGCAAGTGGATATCTCTTTACGTATCTGAAAGTTGTATTCGTCGAGAATCTGATGATTTTCCAGACGATCACACAGACATCTTTACCATCAATTCCCATTGTTTCAACTTCTTCCTTCTTCTTCTACTGCTCAAACAAAACAACCCTGAAACTCAGAATCATTAAATTAAACTGTTGAAAAGGAAAAAAAAAATCAAAATTTGATGAAGAGGAAGAAAGAAGAAGCCAAATAAGAGAGGTCAAGCTTACCTTTGAAACGATGACCAGTCAAAAAGTAATTTGATTTTTGGAGGGTTTTTTTTTTTTGCAGATTTAGAAATGTTTTCTTTTTTAGTAACTTCGGCATGGTCGGGAGGGAATGTTTTTATGTACGGATCGGATCGTGCGTGGAAGACAAAATAGAAAACGAGGGAGTTAGTTGCATACATGTTTTTCAAAGATTCTTCTTTTTTCTTCTTACACACTTTTGAGATTTTTGATCATTATATTTTACTTAAATTTGCAGGTTAAACCCCGTTATTTCTCAGTTTTTTGCATTTATTGCTCAGTTTTCTTTATTTTGGGCTTTTAGATATGTAAGCCCATTGGTAAGACCCATGACAAATTCTAACCGAAATACGTATGAATACATCATTTCCTTTTTTTGTGGTAAAATACATCATTTATTTTTTAATACAAGTTGGATGGATGTAGAATATATATTAGTTTATTTAATATAAAATTATGCGTCAATGATTGTTACTTGTAAGATTATCTTCCTGTTAACAAATAAATTTATTCTCTTGGTATACGATTTCTTATTTCAAGTAAAAAATGTATATGGTTTTTTTTTTTTTTGAACACCAACATGCATGCATGCTGATATGACTAAAACGTCAAAATACTCGAGCTAGATTAGGATATGCGGATAAAAATATGAAGGAAAAATTATTACTGTTAATATGACAAAACCAATTATATGGAAGTAGAAATAATAAGGAAATGTTTTAAAATACTAATGTTTTTTCCGTTTTCTTAATTTGCCTTCATTAAGATCAAAATAATGGAAAACTTTTTAACAGAAAAAAAATAATGGAAAATTTATATTCTTATATGCTGTGGAAATATGGTGATCTATCATGCACTTGGTATATAATAGGATATCAAATCGCCTATTTCTCAAGATAAACCCTAATTTTTTCACCGGAAGTCGCCCGAAGATGTCGGAATACGAATTATCTCAGATCTATCACGAGCGACAACGATTGCAATTTTGTCTCTTGCACGCCCTCAACAATCTATTTCAGGACAAAGACGCATTCACACGGGAAATCTTGAACTTGCCAGAAAACGAGTTGTATGGAAAAAGGTTTTCTTCCCTTATGTTAGGTCCAAGACCAGAAATATATACAAGAGTTTCTAACCTAATTCGATAGATACAAATGACTGAAATGTACAACAGAATATTCACATACGATATATGGAATATATCGTAATACCCCCCCTCAAGTTGGAGAGTGTAGATTTCGAACGCCCAACTTGAGAAGAAAAGCTGCAAACTCCTTCTTCCCAAGAGCTTTAGTCAAAATGTCAGCTAACTGGTCCTTAGTCGAAACATGTTCAGTTGTAATCAATCCACTGATAATCTCATCTCGTATAAAATGATACTCCACCTCAACATGTTTAGTTCGCTCATGACAAATAGGATTTGCTGCCAATGAGATCGCCGAAAGATTATCACAATGAACGATGATCGGAGCATCGAACTGAACACCAAAAACAGTAAGAAGACTCTTCAACCACCGAAGCTCTTTAACTGTATCGGACATTGCCTTATACTCCGCTTCTGTCGAAGAACAAGACACCGTCGGTTGTTTGAAAGTCTTCCACGAAACTGGAGAGCCTCCCAACTGAATGAACCAAGCCGTTAATGAACGCCGCGTAATCGGACACGATGCCCAATCCGAGTCGCACCAAGCCGTGATGACAAGAGGTTGTCCAGATCGAAGAAGAATACCTTGTCCAGGATTCCACTTAAGGTATCGAACCACCCGTAATGCCGCATCCCAATGAGCTTGTTTCGGAGCTTGCATGAATTGAGATAAGACATGAATGGCATATGATAATTCAGGTCGCGTTACCCGGAGATAAATCAGTCGTCCAACAAGACGACGGTACCGCAAAGGATCGCTAATCGTGTCGCCAGATGCTAAGGCAAGTGTGTGGTTCTGATCCAGCGGAAAAGAAACCGGCTTCGCTCCAAGCAGACCCGTCTCCGTAAGAATGTCGAGAATGAACTTTCGTTGACAAAGATATATACCCTCTGAATTACGAGCCACCTCAAGCCCCAAAAAATACTTAAGGATACCGAGATCTTTCATACGAAAGCATGAGCTCAAGTAATCCTTGAACTTCGAAATCACCATCGGAGTGCTCCCTGTGATGATCAAATCATCTACATAGACAAGCACATAAATCTGAATCCCGTCTTTGTCGAAAGCAAACAATGAATAATCCGGAACCGCTTGAATAAATCCGTATTCCTTCAAAGCTTTAGACAATTTGGCAAACCAACATCTGGGTGCCTGTCGAAGACCATATAGAGACTTCCGAAGTCGACAAACTTTGGTCTTATCGGTTGTTCGAAAACCTGGAGGCAATCTCATAAACACCTCCTCCTCAAGGTCACCATGTAAGAAGGCGTTGTGGACGTCCATCTGATGAACTTCCCAATCCCGAGACACTGCAAGATCAAGGAAACATCGAACCGTAGTCATTTTAGCGACAGGTGCAAATGTTTCCGTAAAGTCTTCTCCTTCGATTTGGTTGTTCCCAAGAACCACCAGGCGCGCCTTATAACGCTCAATAGAGCCATCCGATCTGTACTTTATACAGTAAACCCATTTGCACCCAAGAGCCGTCTTACCTGGAGGCAAAGTTTCCACTGTCCATGTATCATTATCTTCCAAAGCTATGATTTCAACTCGCATAGCTTCACAGAAAAACGGGTCTTCGACAGCCTGAGAATAATGCTGTGGTATCGTATGTTCAGTGATGGCAGCAAGAAAGTGTCGATGACTCTCAGAAAACCGATCGCAAGACAGAAAATCCTCAAGCGGATAGCATGAGGTCGCATGTATGGTATTCGCCACAAAATCCTTGAGCCTCGTCGATCGGATCTTTTGTCGATGACCACGCCCCAGAAGTTCATCTACAGATCGTGTATCCTCTGTGACAGCCTCAGGTTCTTCTGTTTCAATGTGCTCGTTTACAGGTGGAGCAATGTTCGCAAAATCAGGTGTCGCTTGTTCAGTGATGCTCTGTTCAGTACGATTCCCTGCTGCAACAGGCACGGTCTCATCATCAGTTCTGACCCCAACCTCTGCAGTATCAGTATCAACAATATCAATCAAAGGAGATTCCTCAAGACGAGGAGACGATGCAGGAGCAAAGTCAACATCTTCAATAACGGGTTGAGAAGTCGGAGGAACAGAGTCACCGCTTTGAGAAGACAAGCTTTTGGAGAATGGAAACTCATCTTCACAAAATATCACATCTCGAGATACCGAAATTTTCCCTGTTTCAATATCGTAAACTCTCCACCCTTTCTTACCAAACGGATATCCGATAAAGATACTGCGTCGACTACGGCTTGCAAACTTATCGCCACCATGTCGTTGTTCATGAACATAACATAAACATCCAAAAACTCGCAAGTGTTGCAGCGGTGGAGGTCGGTTATAAAGCATCTCGAATGGAGTTTTCCCATGTAAGACTTCTGAGGGTGTTCGATTTATTAAGTATCCCGCAGCAAGAACACATTCGCCCCAAAAATCGATTGGAAGAGAAGCTTGAAACCGTAGTGCACGAGCGATATTCAAGATATGTCTATGTTTTCTCTCAACTCTTCCATTCTGTTGGGGTGTGCCAACACAAGAGGTCTCGTGAATGACCCCATTGTCGCGAAAAAATTCAGTGAGGCAGATAAACTCGCTGCCATTGTCTGATCGAAACGTCTGAATTCGAGTCTGAAATTATCGTTCGATAAGAGAGAAAAACTGTCTGATTTTAGTCGGAGCCTGTTGTTTGTTTGGTAACAAATACAACCATAAACTTCGAGTATAATCATCAAGAATGGTAAGAAAGTATTGAGCCCCACAAAGAGCTGGTGTTCGATAGGGTCCCCACAAGTCGCAATGTATCAATTCAAATGGAGATGTAGTCTTATTCAAACTAACTGGAAAAGAATCTCTGGAATGCTTGGCGCGGATACATACGTCACACGCTTTATTGTCTAAAACAACAGAACTAGAAAAACCAGAAATAGGTAACTTTTCTACAACTTTAGGAGATGCATGACCTAAGCGTCGATGCCATACGTCCCGCGAAAGCTGATCCGTGCACCCAGTCACCAACGCCACAGCCACATTCACACTCCTAAAGAAGTAAAGACCGTTCAGCTGCTCACCCGCTCCAATCAGGGTCTTCGTGGTGCGGTCTTGAACAGTACAAAGCTTGTCAGATATCTGGAAGATGCAAGAACGATCCCGAGTCAACTGTGAAACCGAAATCAAATGACAGTGTAATCCCTCAACTAAAAACACGTCACACAATGTAATCTGTGTTCCCATCAGAACCAATCCTTTCTGAACTGACACCGTAAAGCGGCCATCTGGTAGCTTAATACTCACAGGAGCCATCGTTTGAATATCCTGTAGGTACTCTCGCGTTCCTGTCATGTGGTTAGTAGCGCCGGTATCGATAATCCAAGATTCATAAAATTGCTTACCAGACAAACGTGAAGGTGGAGTTTGTTTCCGTTCATCCAACATCGCAACCAGCGTTCTCCACTGAGTCTCATTCAATCCACTGAATCCAACCCGATCTGCCTCTGAGAACGTTGATGAACTCGCACCTGGTGCACCAAACGCAGGAACCATCGCATTCACCATCGCTGGTTCCTTCCCTTTGCTCCTCTGCGAAACCTGTTGAGAAGATCCACCTTCATTTGTGACCTGAGTTTGATTCCGAGGTCGATCTCCCCACCATGGAGGAAACCCGATCTGACGGAAGCAGTTGTCCGCCACATGACCTTTCCGGCCACAACTTGTACACGTCGCATTCTTGTATGGATTCTCCGGAGCCGTACGTCGCGGCTGGGTCTGCATCGCAAAACTGACACCACCAGTTTCCTCTGTGTACGTCCGAGCCACAACCCGAGAGTCTTCCTCTTGTGTCAATGCATTGTAGACGTCATCCAATGAAGGAAAAGGGACACGAGAGAGAAGAGCTGATCTCGTCGGTATGTATATTTCATCCAGACCACGCACAAGCTCATGTACACGATCCTCATCACGCTCCTGCTCAAGTTGAGTGTTGAGCTCGCACCTGCAATTGCCACACTTGCATCGCTTCAACGGTCTGAAGTCGTTTAAAGTGGTCCACAGCTTGTTGAGATACCCAAAGTGTGCCTCAATGGTCTGTCCTCTTTGTTGAGCAGTAGCGATCTCCGTCTTTATCCTTTGGATTTTGGATCCGTTTTTCACCGAAAATCGTTTTTGAATATGCTCCCACAAGCTATGAGCCACATCGTGATGAGAGAGATTCGAGCGCACGTTTGCATCGATCGTGAGCTTGATCCACGACACCACCAAGGCGTTATTAGTCCACCAATCTTCCAAGTCGGGTGCGTCTGGTCCAGGCTGACGAATCGTGCCATCCACGAAACCAAATTTCTTTCTTGCCACAAGCGCTAACCGAAGATTCGTAGCCCACTCATCATAGTTCGGTCCTTTAAGCAACGGTTGGGATATCAGTGTTCCCGGATTGTCACTCGAGGTCAAGTCGTATGGAGATATCGTTCTCCACTGCGTCGCAGAAGTCGTCTCCTTCGTTGGTACTATCGCTGCAGTACCATCAGAAGTTGAAGTCGTCGTTGTGTCTTTGTCACCAGTCATCGTGTATCTAGAAACTGAGAAGAGAGTCGATCAAGAAAAGAATGATGATCGGCGCCGTTTAAGGAAGAAACCCTAGTCGTGCTCTGATACCATGCCAGAAAACGAGTTGTATGGAAAAAGGTTTTCTTCCCTTATGTTAGGTCCAAGACCAGAAATATATACAAGAGTTTCTAACCTAATTCGATAGATACAAATGACTGAAATGTACAACAGAATATTCACATACGATATATGGAATATATCGTAATAGAACTCAATCTCAGAGAAGCTCGAGGCCGATGGTCCGAACAAAGAAACGTGGACACCTCTCTCTTTGATCCTCAAGCCTCACCACAACACGCTCACTGGAGACTACGACGTAAACGTTATGATCTCAGCTCTTGAAGGCAAAGGCAAGAGTGTTGTTTGGCACGATAAGCGTAGAGGAGCTTCTTCGATTGTTCTTCATCATGCAGATAATACACTAATGGGTATCGTGTTGAATGTTCCGGTTACTCGGTATGGTGGACTTTGGAGAAGCAGGCGTTGGGTTGTAATGAGAAAAATCAATGGAGTCTGGTATAACTTGGATAGTGATCTTGTTGTGCCAAAGCCGTTTATAGACGAAGATGAAGTAATGAGGTTCTTGGATCAGAACCTGAGTTTAGGTGGAGAAATCTTGCTAGTGAACAATGCTTAAAGATACTTAACAATGCTTAACGTGAGTTTCTTTGACACTAAAAAAAAAACAACGTGAGTTTCATATTCTTACTTCATTTTCCTGTCTTGTGGTTTAAATTATAGTTCATCTAGCTATCAACCTTGTAGGCGATGAAATATAATTTTATCATTATATTACTTTAATTTGCAGGTTAACCCCTGTTATTTCTCTGTTTGTGCATTTATTTCTTAGATTTTGGGCTTTCACATGTGAGTTTCTAACTGATATATGAATAAATAAGCCTTTTTCTTTCTAACTAAAACATGATAGATCAATTACATCATTTCTTTGTGAGTCCAGTTGGATGGATATAGATAAAGATACATTAGTTTACTTTAAATATACAAATATAGATGCGTCAATGGTTTTAACTTGTAACATTATCTTTCTATACAAGAATAATTCTTTCCTTCGTAGATGATTTATTTTAATCATTTTTCTGATTTTTCTAGATATGAATATGATTAAACAATTGATTCGTGATCAACTGTATTTTGGTCTCAGTAAACTGATGCTAGTTCAGTCATTTACGTCACAAAAGGGTGAAATCTACATATATAGACTTACATAATCGTAAATATATAGTATATATATATATATATCAATATATGGACAAAACAAAATATATATCAATGTCGCTTTCAGGAAGAGTGAACAATATATATTGAGAAACCAAGGCAATTCTTAGTTGTGTATGGTTTATGAATTGTGAGTATTGGGAAAAAAACCATAGTAAGAGCTCAATAGATATTTACTATTTTTGATTATCATCGTTTTAAATTTGTTTTAGTGGCCATCCTGTTACCATATAATTGGAATGGAATCTACACGTGTAATTTTCTATAGAACTAGGTGTTACTTTTATTTTAAAAAAGTTTGAAAGCTTATAAGTTTCATATTTATATCTCACATTTTTCTAATAACTTGTTTTATTTCTTACATACTGTTCTAATAAGTTGATGATAATAAATCATTAAATCAGAAGCTTCATGTAGAGGTTTATAAAGTTTAGAGACAGATAAACTTTTTCAAAAAAAAAAAAAATGTCACTTTTTTAATGAGCAAATTAACAAAACAGATGTATTCAACATGTGAACCAAACTGACCATCCTAATTTCTTTCGGCATCATCAGCAAAACAAAAAACCTTTAACCAAAATTTTTTGTTCTTCATAAGCATTTTTTGTTTTGTTTTATTTGCAGGTGTCTAGAATATCAGAAATCATTTTTTTATATATAAAAAAATCCTTTCAACAAAACAAAAAATAAAAGAAAAGAAAAGAAAAGGACACCTACATAAATAACCAACGGATGTTATTCAATGAAGAAAATTAAAAAAAAAAAATTAAAATTAAAATAACCAAAAGGCTAATTAGTAATTTGGTACTATGCTGTTAATTGGTTTCATATTTTCATGTAAAGGTGATTGACTCTCCTCCTCACGTACCTTATCATAGGAAAGACTAACAAAATATCTGAGAGGAAGGGAAGAGACACGTACGCAAAATTAGACAATATTAGTAAGATTCTTCAGGAGGTTCGTTTCATTATTTAAGGACCGAATCATTTCTCTTTTTCATCAGAGCTGTGAGTGACTCACTGTGCGCGGATCGAGTTCTATAACAGAGTCATCTTCTTCACTCTTCACTTTCCAGGTTCGAATCCTCTGTTTTCCTTCTTTCTCCACTATTAATTTCAGGAATGTGCATGCAAGTTGAACAATTTCTTGATTTGTTTGATCGAGTTTTGTTGATTTTTCTTCAGCCGATTTGATTCTTCAAAGTATGTGCTACGACATCTTGTTATGTGGTTTTTGTTTTTCCCCTTAGATTCTGCGATTTCTGTTGTTCTCATGCTCCTAGAGATTTCGATAATCTCCATTGAACAGTGATTGATTCATATACTGTCATTTACATATTTCATGTAAATGTGAAAGTTTACATCTTTCATGGAAATGAGAAAGTTTACATCTTTCATGTAAATATGAAAGTTTACATCTTTCATGTTAATATTATCTGCAGCTATGGCTTCAGTACACAGTACCTTGATGTCGGTCGTGTGCAACAACAAAAACCACTCAGCTTGGCCCAAACTTCCAAACTCCTCCTTATTACCTGGATTCGATGTGTCTGTTGTTCAAGCTGCTGCAGTTCGGTCCAAGAAGGAGACAACAAGCACACGAGCCACGTTGACGTTTGATCCCCCAACGACTAACTCAGAGAGAGCCAAGCAGAGAAAACACACCATCGATCCTTCTTCTCCTGATTTTCAGCCAATCCCATCTTTTGAGGAATGCTTTCCTAAGAGCACTAAAGAACACAGGTATTGCTTCACTCAGTTTCACATTTTTCTTTCTTTTTCTCGTTGGAATAGTTTGAATCACTCTTGTTTTGGTTTTGATTGTTTTTAGTGAAATCGTTCATGAAGAAACTGGCCATGTCCTTAAAGTTCCTTTTAGACGTGTGCATTTGTCTGGTGGTGAGCCAGCTTTTGACGCATATGACACTAGTGGTCCTCAAAACGTTAACCCACACGTTGGTATGTGTGATTCAAAGCTTTCAACTTTACTTTCTATGCGACTTATCAATAACAAATGAAAACTTACCAATCAGGACTTGCTAAGCTAAGGAAGGAGTGGATTGATCGCCGTGAAAAGCTGGGAACACCAAGATGCACACAAATGTACTATGCTAAACAAGGAATCATAACCGAGGAAATGCTATATTGTGCTGCAAGGGAGAAAATGGACCCTGAGTTTGTAAGATCAGAAGTTGCTCGAGGCAGGGCCATTATCCCTTCCAACAAGAAGCATTTGGAGCTGGAGCCGATGATTGTTGGTAGGAAGTTCTTGGTCAAGGTCAATGCGAACATCGGAAACTCAGCTGTGGCAAGCTCCATTGAAGAAGAAGTCTACAAGGTTCAGTGGGCAACAATGTGGGGAGCTGATACAATCATGGATCTCTCAACTGGTCGTCACATCCACGAGACACGCGAGTGGATCCTAAGGAACTCAGCTGTTCCTGTTGGTACGGTCCCCATTTATCAAGCGCTTGAGAAAGTGGATGGAATCGCTGAGAATCTTAGCTGGGAAGTGTTCAGAGAGACTCTGATTGAACAAGCTGAGCAAGGTGTTGACTACTTCACAATCCATGCTGGAGTTTTGCTGCGTTACATTCCTTTAACAGCCAAGCGTATGACCGGGATCGTTTCTCGTGGAGGATCCATCCATGCTAAATGGTGCTTGGCTTACCACAAGGAGAACTTTGCTTACGAGCACTGGGATGATATTCTAGACATCTGTAACCAGTATGATGTGGCTCTTTCGATTGGGGATGGTTTGAGACCTGGCTCGATCTATGATGCTAACGACACTGCTCAGTTTGCAGAGCTCCTTACTCAAGGTGAACTTACTCGCCGAGCATGGGAAAAAGATGTCCAGGTATAAGACAACTACTTATCTTGTTCACTTGTCTTCATACCAATTTGTATGTATCTGCATACATATTCTCAATACTGGTTGATTTTATTTTTTCAGGTGATGAATGAAGGTCCAGGGCATGTCCCAATGCACAAGATTCCAGAGAATATGCAGAAGCAATTGGAATGGTGTAACGAGGCACCATTCTACACACTTGGTCCTTTAACTACTGATATTGCTCCTGGATATGATCACATTACCTCTGCCATTGGAGCTGCCAATATTGGAGCCTTGGGAACAGCTCTTCTTTGCTATGTAACACCAAAAGAGCACCTTGGTTTACCAAACAGGGACGATGTGAAGGCCGGGGTTATAGCGTACAAGATCGCTGCTCATGCAGCTGATCTAGCCAAACAGCATCCACATGCTCAGGCATGGGATGATGCGCTGAGCAAAGCGAGGTTTGAGTTTAGATGGATGGATCAGTTTGCTCTGTCGTTGGACCCAATGACAGCTATGTCTTTCCATGATGAAACTCTTCCAGCTGATGGAGCCAAGGTTGCACACTTTTGCTCCATGTGTGGACCAAAGTTCTGCTCCATGAAGATAACCGAAGACATCCGAAAGTATGCAGAGGAGAATGGTTATGGCACTGCTGAAGAAGCCGTCAGACGAGGAATGGAGGCTATGAGTGAAGAGTTCAATGTCGCAAAGAAAACCATTAGCGGAGAGCAGCATGGTGAAGTAGGCGGAGAAATCTATTTGCCAGAGAACTATGTCAAGGCTGCTTTGAAATAAATGGTCAGTTTGCTTAAGACATTGCTCTCACTCAACAAATCAAATATGGCCAAATGTGTCCTTACTGTTATTTCTGTCTTTTGTCATCTTTCTTTTGCTTCTGCTTCATCAGGGAGGGAATGGGTTGAGAAAAAGACCTTCGCTTAATCAAGTCTTGTTGCCTGTTGGACTATACCTGAATAAGGCACAAAGTGTTGGTAAGCTTTAAGTAGTCTCTATGTCTTGTTACTTTTTTAGAACTATCTTTCATCTATGTGTGTTTCTGTCTGTTCCTTCGAGTCAGAGTCAGTAATAAAGACAAGCTAAGTTAATGTTTTTCAATACTTTTATCTATGATTTGGCTGGTGAATTGACATGCAAAAGCACCAGGGGTGCTTGAACCAGGATAGCCTTTGCGCGGGGCTATCCAGGACCAGGCTGAGAAAGTCCCTTTGAACCTGAACAGGGTAATGCCTGCGCAGGGAGTGTGCAGTTTTTTTTTCTTCTTTCTGTAGCTTTCTTTAGGAGAAGAAGCTTCTACTGTTGCTGCTCTCCCGAGAGTCTCGGTCCATGGTTGAGCTAAGAAATTCAGCTTCGTTGACTTCCAGCCATTGAAAAAAAGTCTTAACTAATGCACTAAGTCACTAACAGTAAAGAATGCCAAAGTCTTTTGAATCTTAAAAGGGAAAAATGCAAAATCAATCTGCTCTCTGTTAGTTTGTTTTCCAGTGTTAGGACACAAACAAGATTTATAACTAAGGAAAATCTTGACTTGCTCAAGCAAAACAAATGTCGTGTTTATAGACATCTATGAAGCTAGACTGATGCAGGGAAAATAAAATAAATGTACTGCATATAAGAGGTATGGCCAGTGACGGAGCTTGAAATTTTCTTCGCTGGGGGCAAATGGGATATAAGTAATATTATGAGTGGGGGTTTTGACATTTGGCTTTGAAAAACTACACCAATTTTTTAATTTTATTGGGGTCATTCGCCCCCATCTTAATGGCTGTGGCTCCGGGTATGGCATCGACCAGAACAAGCAGCTATCAGCCAAACGAAAATTATCTTCTGTTCTTATTGTTCAGCTTTCTCTGCTCATTCATTAACCAACAAAAAATGTGAAAAAAAATTGTATTCAATACGAAAAGATGATCTTATATTGCGGTAGAACATAAGCAAAACGAACATACCTAATGCGGAAAAAAGGTTTTGGAGCCTGGAGGTTACGAGTTCTTGGAACATTATATTTCGGTTTTCATTTTTCGTGTAAGATCACACAAGAGCCTGAGGCTCTGAAAATCCAATATTTCAAAAGGTTACATAATAGTTTTGATTTGTTTTGACACGAATCATAGAATATGAGCCTTTTCTTGCACGTATGACTAGAAAGGCAGAGAAATTATATGTGGAAATGGTTGAAAAACAAAAGAACGAGACGGCACACTGTTTTCCATAAGAAATCCGGGACGATGAGATGTTCTTTAGTCGGCTCGTGACGGCAGGTGAAGACAAAAACGACATGTATCTTATATTTAAATGTTAAAACGGCGCATGTTTCGGTACTCATCCAAGTCTATCGTGTTCATCTGGAAATGAATCCATGAGAGATCGAACTTCGCTGTGTCGTTTGCTCGATATCGAATAATCCAAACCCCTTCGCTTTGTTTCACAAGATAAACCCTAATTTCTTCACCGGGAAAGTCACCGGAAGATGTCGAATTACGAATCTCAGATCTATCACGAGCGACAACGATTGCAATTCTGCCTCTTGCACGCCCTTAACAATCTATTTCAGGTAACCCCTACTTTCTCGATACCCAGAGATTCACCGATTGATGTGAAATTAGTTTAAGCAAGCGATTAAGAGTTTTGCTATTGCTCCAGGACAAGGACGCATTCACGCGGGAAAACTTGAACTCAATCGCGGAGGAGCTCGTTGCCGATGATCCGAACAAAGAAACGTGGACGCCTCTCTCTTTGCTCCTCAAGCCTCACCACAACACGCTCACCGGAAACTACGACGTAAACGTGATGATCGCAGCTCTTGAAGGCAAAGGCAAGAGTGTCGTTTGGCATGATAAACGTCTTGGAGCTTCTTCGATTGATCTTGATTCGGATACTCTAATGGGTATCGTGTTGAATGTTCCGGTGAAGCGATATGGTGGACTTTGGAGAAGCAGACATTGGGTTGTGATGAGAAGAATCAATGGAGTCTGGTATAACTTGGACAGTGATCTCGTTGTGCCAAAGCCGTTCAAAGACGAAGATGAATTTAGGGGGTTCTTGGATCAAAATCTGAGTTCAGGTGCAGAGATTTTGCTAGTGAACAATGCTTAAATATCAACAACGTGAGTTACATTTATTTTGACATCTCTCTGTATATATCATCGAATACTGATCCAGTGTAACAATGTCTCTTGAAGTTTAAATGCCAACAGAGTTGATCAGAGTTATAAGAACTAATGATCTTCATGTCTCGGATTAGGATTATCTTTTCTTAGAGGTCTATGATTAGACTCGTATGCTAAATCTTTTCACTATCCCACTCTTAGACTTGATGGAATATTTTTTGTATTCCTTATTGCCTTGTTGCCATGTTTGAAACTGCCATATTTGTCAATCACCTGCCCATTAGCATCTAAACACTGATTAATCAATCATTCAATGATTGTTGTTCTGATCTCAATGGTTTTTTCTCACAAGTAACAACTTACTCTCCTTAGTTTGATATTGTATGTATGTCATAAAATTGCTTCTTGCTAACATTCTTGCGCCCACCATTGTTGACTTCTTTCTTTCTTCTCTCTCTCTTTTTCTTTGGTAGCCTCAAGTCTCAAGTAAGGTATCTGCAATCTCTAAAAGGTTAGTTTATCTCGGCTTCTCCAGGAGTCAAGAAAACAAAATTAGTTCACATTTCTTTTGTGCAAACACAAGGGTGATCATCAAATAGGGACAATACGGAAGGGTTATTTCATAGAAAGAACCTTTTAAAATGCTTAAACAAATGGTTTTATTATCTCTGTGGACCTTCGTATACTTACTTTCCATAGTGGAAATGTAGAAAACTTAACAAAGTCTCTTCTTTCGCTCTTGGGCTAACTTTCTTTTCTACATTTCGGCGTTAAGAGCTTTTGATATATTTATATCTGTTAGTCATTACAATTCTTTTCTAAAATAAGTTTTGATGTATACAGTAATCACGGCTTAAAGTGTAATCATGTCATTATTGGTACATTATAAATAATCATGGGCTATCTAGTCCAACTACATCAGCCAACTGTTCCAGCATCAATCTCTTTACCTATATATATATATTCTCCCTCACTCTCCTCAACTTAAACTGCTCTCACACTCTTTTGATATGTTGCCTACAGGAACAAAACGGTTAAATGCAAACACTAGACCAGTAACTTCTGCTAAGCAATCCTCAGTCAAGGGACCGTATGGTAAGAATCCGGGATGCACAACAAGCTGTGGCTTGAGGCTACCGAGGAAAACAGAAGTTACTGCAGCAAGACTGATCAACCATCTCAGCTCTAAATTTGTCAAGGGGTTACGTCTAGTGGTGATGAGGAAGAAGAAGAAGAAGAGATCTCCACCATCGAAGGCTTCTTCCACCGGTAGATCTCAGACTTCGGTTATCTCTGTCGCTAATGATAATACCTGTAGATCAGAGGCTATAGAAGACTGCATACAGTTCATAAACTCATCGACCTCGTTCACACGATCAACTTCTGCCACTGGCCGTACATCTTGAGTTTTTAGTCATGCCCATGAATTTTCGAAGATTCTCGTTCTTGGTAACCCGTTGGTTAAGCTATAGCATATTAGAGAGTTGCATGTAATCTCTAAGATAAAAGTAAAATATATAGAGCAGAGTAGAAATATGTATAAGTGTGACCTTGAGAATCTTTTGCTTAGTGTATGTACAAAATCTTATCTGTATACTTTTCATCTACATATGCATTTTCCCTAAATCAACGAGCAGAAATTTCCTGAAGAATTTCCTAGCCAAAAAGCAATATTCCAACAAGCTCTCAACCTCTGCAATGATACTTTGTATAATCCGAGACTGGTATGAGGTGAAGTCACTTGCACCTGGAGATGTCTTGGAGCTGAACTATTGACTGATAAATGAAATCAATTCTCGGTGTGGATCAATCAATAATCTTCTCTCCTGTTGAAAATAAGTTCCAAACGACGGTCCCGACTAGGTAAAGACCGACCGAAATCGTGAAAACGTCGTCCCATGAACCTGAGGCATTTCTTGTCAATGTTAATACAATTTTTTTGTGAAAAGAAAAACTTAAGTGTTGCGAGTCCTTACCGTGTTGTAGGATGTGACCAGTCGCGGCTGTGCCAAGAACTCCGGCAAGTACTCCAGCAGTGTTAGACAGACCAAGTAACACGCCCTGACCACAACAACAACAATGTGCTAATCCATTTGTTTTTTGAGTAGCATGACTGGTAAAGAAGTAATTGATTATACTTACAGAGTATCTTGGAGCAATGTCTTGATGATTAGAATATAGACCAGACTGCGAGAACGCATCAAGCCCCTGGCTACAAGCCATGCACAAAACGGCCATTGTAGGAGAATCTATGTGTTTCAGCTGTGTTAGGAAGAACGCTGGTCCAAGAAACCCAATTGTTTGCATTATCTGAATTTCATCATAGAAAAGGTATAAAACGATTATCGAATGAATTACTTTGACTAGATTTGAAATGGACTGAAGAGGTAATTTGCAGGTTACCTTGCGGACATTCGTTACAGAGAAACCTCGGCTGACGAGTGTATCAGCGATCCATCCTCCAGCATTTGCAGATATCGCCATTGTCAACCATGGGAATACTGAGAGAAGCCCTGATTCCATTAGATTGAACTTCAGCACCTGCATCCCAAATTTCAGTGAGATTAAACAAATAATCAGAAGAACCAAAAAAAAAAACATCAAGATCCATGTAAAGACAGTAACAGAACTGACTTGATGGTAATAAGTTGGCATCCAGGTTAAGAGAATGAATGTTCCCCAGTTGTGACAGAAGTGGCAACAAATGAGAGCCCAAACCGGCGGTTTCGACAATATCAGCCTCCACGGGATCGACTTCACTGGCTCTTTGCTGGCACAGTTGTCTGCAATTAGCTTTCTTTCTTGAGGGAGCAACGTCAGATCTTCAACCGGTGAACTCTCAGCCTATAGTTAGTAACAACACACACACACCTTTTTAATCTTAAGGTCCATTAATGGTACCAGAGTCTTAAAAAAAGCAGTAGAGAAAGGCTGACCTTAGTCAGCCACAGAGTCAACCATACAGTTCCAAGAGACCCAAAACAGTAAAACACAGAAGGCCATCCAAATTGATGAATCAAGAAAGGCGAAAAGGCTAAACCAATGACGGATCCAATGTACATTCCGCTGTAAACAAGCGCGAGAGACCTGCTTCTTTCTTGCACTGGCACCCACTTGGACAGTAAATTGTTCATAGCAGGCATTGCAACACCCTGGAGATACCATGGAGAATAGATTTACTTCTCCTTATTGGACAATCCAAGATTGATTGATACTTTAACCATTCTTAAGAAAGTAATCACAAACCTCTCCAACTCCCATGAAAGCACGAACAACGAGCAAGAACGGGAGACCAAGTTTAGCTGCTATAGGCGTAAGAATTGTGGCGATTGACCACCAGATTACGCCAAAGCCAAGAACCATTTTGCCACCTACCGTGTCTGCCCATATCCCACCAGCTATCTGTCATATCAACAAGCCACTGACTAAGATTCAAACACATACTTATTGATTCAAATCTAAACAATGAAGACGAAGCTTACCTGAGTGAGAAGGTAACCCCAGAAGAAGGAAGACTGAATCAAACCAACTGTTGCCGGATTCCAACCATACTCAGCCGACATCGGAAGTATTGCTATGCTCATATTCACCTGTAAAACACCATCTGTCCAAAATTGGTAACTCCAATTCCTAATTGAGCAATCTTTCGATTCCGTAAAACCTTTCGATTTCGTAATCAATTTATTCTACAGGGAAAGCTTACTCTGTCCATATTGCAGAGAAGAAAAGCTGAGAAACAGAGAAGCACTATCACCCAACGCTTCGGAAACTCCTTCCACCATGGGAGCGAGCTAAGCGAATCGGAAGCTACGCCGTTTCTAGTCACTATCTCTTTATCAACGTATACCTCCGCATTCGAATTCCCAATCTCTCCTTTGTCGGAGCTCCGAACCAAAACCCGGAACACGGCGGACCGATTCCGCGGGTAGATCCATACCCGTAACGACTTCGGATCCGATTTTAGAATCCGGCGGTTGCGAGAAGAGGTTTCTGGCGGACGATTTGAAGTGTAGAGAGAGTGGAGATTCGGAGAGCAAAGCAGAGCTCTCGCGTTCATGGCGAGATAGATTTTTGTTTTTTTTCTTTCTCTCCACTCCTTCTTCTTCTCACTCTTTCTCTTCGCCTTCTTTTTGGAGAGAGGAACTGATTTTTGTAAAAGTTCGTGGCTGACGTGACGACAAGTGGCGATCTAGTATTGGTTGGATGAAGATGTCATAATCTAACGGGAAGTAACTATTAACAGAATTATTGGAGGTAAATCTGAGCTTAACATAAAGCCCATATGAGGCCCAAATAATTAAGCTTGCAAAATGCAAACCAAAGTTTGTTGTTCACTTCCCCCCCTCCCCCAAATGTAGAAGTTTAGGCCTATCAAAACAAAAGACATACAATAATACGCTAAATAGCAATCATTTACTATCCGTAATATAATATGAAAATGATATACTTTATGTGGAATAAAGGATAGGATCCAAAGGTGGAACCAAACTCCCACTAATTGCGTTAATAAAGATGCGAAAGAACATATAATCAGATAATTAATTAAATAAAAATATGCTGTGGGATCTTTTTCAATGCAATTGACGTTAATAAAGATAAACCCACATGTATTAATTTCATAAGGCCAAAGTTGACGATATGCTTCATCACAGTAATGGTAGTAAATATAAGATTCTGACAACCAAGTAGTAATATGTGCAAAACATATACTTTGTTTTAAAGGCAAAACAAAACAAAACAAAACATTTACTTGCTTCTAATAAAAGCATAACAACACCCTCTGACCTAAAGTTGTATAAAATAATGAATGTATAAAAACAATAATTGATCATATGTAGATAGAATAAAAGAATATCTAAACTTGTAACAAAAATGACAATCTGACGAATTATATTCTTATATTTTCTTAGTAATGGCGGTCCAAGAGTAGGGGATGAGAATGATGCAAGATTGTGGTGCGGCAGATTAATCATCGAATGTGCCCCTTGCTGTCCACCACAAGTGCTCCCTAGCTAAGCTTAGGCTTTATGACTACAATTTTTATTTCTTTTGCTTTTCTTTAAGTCGGCATTATTATTGTGCATCGTCAAATAATTCTTTGTTTGCATGCGTTATCCATTGAAACGGAGCTAATAATACCGCCTGCTTATGATTCGATTCCATTTACCAATATCTAATAACTTTTTTGGTAACTGTTAATTGATATATTAATTAGTTCTTCGAAAGTTCTTAACTCTTAAATTAAGTAACAGAAAACATTTTCTGTTTTTCACTAACCAACGCAATCTAACCATACGCACTACAAATAAATGTGTTTTATATCATTTATTTTTTATATTTACATCAGTTATAAATGATGTTAAAGAATTTTATATTACTTAAATAAGTGATTCTAAAAGTGGTGATGTAAGTGGTGATGCAAATATTTACATCAGTAAATATTTTACATCAGTTTAAGCAAATGATATAAATATTTGCATTAATTAAGCAAATGATGTAAATATTTGCATCAATTAAGCAAATGATGTAAATATTTGCATTAATTATTGTAATCGATATTAATTTGTATTGGTAGCAAAAAATGATGTTAAAGATTTGCATCAATCAATATTCATGATGGTAATGTTATATAATAATTATCAATTTTAAAAGACATATAATAATTTTAAATTCGTATTAAATTATTTTAATTATTTTAACATTAGTTTATAATTATTTTATAAATAATACATCAATATTGATTTTTTTTATTTATAAGAAACCAAACTCCTTACCTTCTCTCTTAGTTGTTGATGTGGGAAAAACATCAAAGTTAATTAACAAATTAATTAGCATCATTTTTTAATTGATGTAATATTTATATTATTTTTTAATTGATATTAACAAAAAAATGTAGTTACATCAATTATCTAAGTGATGTGCATTCATATTTTTGTATCACTTTTCATAAAATAATATAAATTAATTAAAATTTGCATCATTTATTATTGAATTGATGTTAAATTAACTAATGATAAAATCAGTTATTAAATTACATATTTTCATATCAATTGGTAATAAATGATTTAAAACAATATCATTTATTTTAGTGATACAAATTAAGTGATTTAATACACACTTTTTTTTGTAGTGACAGGTAGATCTAGTTTTGGTCTAACGTAATATCGTAGATGTAATGTAAACTAAAGCCTGGTATTCATCAATTCAAAGAGGTTTAATTGAGAGATATGGTAAATATATACCGGCTAAACAAGAAGGCAAGGACTCAAGTGATAAATAGAAGAAACGCAAACTTTGGTCGTAAGAAACGAAGCACTTTCATGTGGATGGAGACAGGAAGGGCTTCGTAATGGCCCGCTTTCAAAAGTACATACTTCCTCACGTGGCCCCAGTTTCTTCAATTATCATTCACCATTTCAATCATTCATCACTAACTTTCCTTCCCTATATTTTTATTTCTATATTTATTAGCTAAACGACATATTACCAAATTACACTTTCTTATTTTGCTTGTATACGGAAAAAACATGCATTTTTTTGGTTAAAAATCTCAAAATAACTAATTTTACATTGATCCAACCACTTTTTTCAAAAAAAAAAAAGATTGATCCAACCAAATGGTATAGTAAATTGAAGTCACTCCAAAGTTTACATGGCATTTATAAACTTCCAATTCTGATCAATCATAGTGTTAAATTTGACTACTTATGTGGTTGTCTTTTAGAGTAATTACAATATAAATTTTGTAAAGAAAAAACGGTGCGGCCAAACCACGATCGATTGAGATAAAACAAGAAGGTGCTATGCATAAGGCATTTATATACTACATTTTCAGCTAATTATATACCATTTGATATAACTTAGCACATTTAACTGCCACTTGGTTACTTTGTTGTTGTTTTTTTTTTCGTGAAAGCGAACTCTTAACCTATATTTTTGTCCTGTTCCTGTATAACCACAAAAGCCTAAATTACCTGAATAGATATATTTACAAATACGAAAAAAAAAAGATATATTTACAAATAGGATACTTTATGTATTTACTATTTATCGAAAAAGATAGTATACACGATACTAGTGTATTTATTTCTTCTTGTTATGATCATATGCATAGATCTATAAGTAAACATATGCATTGATGAGCTTAGATAAGAAATGAGACATGTGCACGTGTTCCTCTGTCTACGTCCATATCCTAAGCAACAAATTTTGCGAAACCAGATATTTATAATTATATTCATACAAATAATTCGGTAGCCTCGGATTCCTCCGCAAAATTTCGAGTTCTGCTTCTGTGAATACATTAACTGTATACAGTCATACAGATACCATAACATAAATGTTATTAATTACATAACATCGTACAGAAATAATAGAGAAAAAGTGGAAAATAGAACCTGAAATAGAAAAAATCAAATGATCATAAAGTATATAGAGTTAAAACATTGAGATATCAGCCATTAATTAATACCAACATCAATATTATGTTTGATGTGAAATAAATCTGTCCATACCACCATTATCTGCAAATTTTAAAATTTCATTCAAAATGGGAGAGAATTCGATGTTACTGCAAAATTGAGATCATCATGGTAAGTCATGGCACATTCTGTAAGGAAATTCAGTGAAAGAAAAAAACAATGTACACTCACTTACATGTACACACACTAACCAATGCATCGTAAGATTCGCATAAACATACAAAAAAATGATAAATTTAAGGGAGACAAATATTCTGGCAAAAATTAGAAGAAAAATATTGAAAAAGACATAAAATAGCGTCGCACCTACTCTTCTTCTATACCTTTAGTATCTCTCCTGTCTTCATACACCTTTACATTCCTTCTCCTCTCCTCTTCATCATTTCTTCTTCTTTACACCTCTCCAATGGTTGATTAAACTGCTAAACACTAACTCTCTCTCTCTCTCTCTCTCTCTCTCAAAGTCTAGCGATAACTACTCTCGTGAATGGCGGCGCGAAAACTCGGGTCGTTGATACGTCAACATTTTCTCTCTCTTATCTTCCTCTTCCTCGGCTGTTTCTTCTTCTCACGAGGAGGAGACTGTAGACATAAGAGGAGGAAGAAGAAGCTTAGAACAGTATCTTCTTCATCACCTTCTGCTTCCGGTTTATCCTCTTCTTGGTCCTACTTAAAACGGGTTTTCTTATCCACGACGAGGATATCCAAATCCCGTAACCAAACGCACCCTAACGGTCCTACTCTCACATCCGCTAGATCTTCTCAGAACTCTCTCGTCACTCTCGTCCAACCAGATACGACGAATCAACCCGACCCGGAAACCCGTATCGAAACCGGGTTCTCGGATTCGGATTCTCTGTTTCTCCCTCTGCGCAGCGAGATTTACTCCTGCACGTCGTGCGGCGAGGTTTTCCCCAAAATCAACCTCCTCGAGCACCACATCGCGGTTAAGCACGCCGTATCGGAGCTAATCGACGGCGAATCGAGCACGAACATCGTGAAGATCATATTCAAATCGGGTTGGCCCGAACAGGGGAACAAAATCCCGGAGATCCATCGGATCCTGAAAGTCCACAACAGCCAAAAGATTCTCACGAGATTCGAGGAGTATCGAGAGTTCGTCAAGGCGAAAGCCGCTCGTAGCGGCGGAGGAAGACGGTGGGACGACGAACGGTGCGTCGCCGACGGGAACGAGCTCCTGAGATTCTACTGCTCGACGTTCATGTGTGACCTAGGGCAAAACGGTAATTCCAGTCTCTGCGGACATCAGTACTGCAGCATCTGCGGGATAATCGGATCCGGGTTCTCGCCGAAGCTCGACGGGATCGCGACGCTTGCGACGGGGTGGAGAGGACACGTGGCGGTTCCTGAGGAGGTGGAGGAAGAGTTTGGGTTTATGAACGTGAAACGGGCGATGCTGGTTTGTCGGGTCGTAGCGGGTCGGGTCGGGTGTGATTTGATTCCGGATGATGATGACGTGGATAAGAGCGATGGAGGGTTTGATTCTCTGGTTGGGCAAGGGACGAGGAGCAAGAGTGGGGCCCTTTTGAGGATCGACGATGAGGAGCTTCTCGTGTTTAATCCAAGGGCTGTGCTTCCTTGTTTTGTGATAGTGTATACTGTGTAAGCGGAATTCGATTGTTATAATCGCGTGTGTGTGTGTTTGTTATATATTTGTCACAAACTCGCAAGGTTTTTGTGGTTTTTTTTGGAGGTGGTTTAGAAGTAATTGTGAAGTGTGAACGCTTTAGTTGATAAAATCTTTGTGGTGGCTTTTCAATATGATCCGAGCATATTTTGAGAGGTTAATGTTAGTGTGAGAAACTCGAAGAAACAAGATATCATGTGATTTTGGACCTCAATCAATCGACTGTTTCTATCTAATAGTAGAATCTTTTTAGTTAACCTTACAAAAGATTACACTTGATTTGGGGTTACACAATTCTAACTCCTTAGATTGTTCCCAACCTATTCCTACTTTAACATAGTTCCACTAACAAATCTCACCCAACCATGAATCTATGGCACTATGGACACATACATTTGAGCTTCTGTTTTTTTTTTTTTTTGGTGTGTGAAAGTTATCGAATATAATTTTAATTTTTTCATAATAAAAGAGATAATTTATTTAGTGTACAATCACCATATCAAACAAATGGGTTTTCTATTTAAACTTTTTTTTTTGTTTTTTTATGATTTTGTTTTTGTAGTGATTATTTTTACCTTTGTCGCATATACCAAAAAATAATTGTTAAATTATTAACAAGTTAAAATCAGTCATGATTTAGAATTTCAAACTAAAAGTAGTTAGTTTGTTACTATCTAAACATGAGCCTGTAAGCCAAATCTCGTAAAGTTTAATATGAGAGAACAATGAAACTATATTTCTCCCAATATGAAACCATAGCATTTGATTCTATCTCACTTGTTTATTATTGATTTGATATTGGTGATTCATCTAAATCACTTACCAACAATACTTCCAAAATAGTGCTGATTTGAGAAGCATATTGCATTTATGTTGTGTATCAGTGGTGCCATCAAATTCACTTTTGATGAGGACATGTTTTGGGGATATGGTTTGAACATGTAATGTCAAAGACTTCAACAACGAGAAAAAGATGCTAAAGTTGACTCATGATGAAAGACACATTGTTAATGGTTCAACCCTTATCAAAGATATCATAAGAGAATACATTTGTCCTCATCTATTGATAGAATTCCTCATAAATGATTAAATTCCACATATATTGAGTTTTAGTATAAGAATTTCTGGTGAGTTTAGTGTTATTAAGAATACTAGAAACACATAGATATAATGTCTATCGAATCCTTACTAAACATATCAGAATCAAAAGAGAACATATTTGTTTGTATCTATCGATAAAATTCCTCAGGGATTGATGATGATTAAAATCAACATATATTGAGTCTTATCATAAGAATTACTGGTTGGAGGTTATAGTCATTAAGAAAACGGGAAACACATAAATATGGTATTTTTGGACAATTTTTGTACATTTTTACTGTTTTATTGTATGTTTTTCTTTACTTTAAGTTTTTGTATGATAAGTTTTTTCTTAATATATTTTGAGTCCTTTCTTCTCTTTTAGATATTATTTTTTTCTCTAGTTTAACAATATAACTATGTGTTTTTTGTTTTCAATTTGGGAAATGCTATTAGAAACAATGAAGATATCTCAACCTTAGTTGATATTTCCAGTATTAACAATTTGAGGGGACCGATGTTCAAAAAATCTGACGAAAATGATGGAGATTGAAGGCATAATTAGTGAGTATGAAGATGGTAATCATAGATAAACAAAAGTCTGATATTTTTTGGTATTTATCTAAAAAAACTTAGGGTTTACTTTTATATTTTATAGATGTTGTTTCTATGTCTTGCGGTCGTAATTGACCAACATATCTGTTAAAGGAGTCATTTGGTTCCACATATTATGTGAGATATGATATATATATATATATTTGAAAAATATATATATATATATAATTATCATATAAATTTCTGTTTCTTAACTTTTAAACGCAATTTATTACTACCAAATTGTGTACCTTTTTTTTTCAGTAATTATATACCTTATTTATTCCTTCCTTGTAAATATGAATGCTTTTAATTCTTTTTGCGATGGACAAATTATTCATTTTTTATTTTTTATAGTTATACATATACATGTAAAAATTCTTTAATTTTATTTTATGTTGTCTTCTACTCTTATGCACAACAGATAAATTAGGTCCATTATTACACGAACATACTTATATGCACTTGCTTTTTAGTTAAATTACTAAAAAGATTTTTTTTTTCCTTTCTGGTAAACCCTATAAATAAATGATATAATAAGTCCTCATAAAAAATTACTAGACCTCAATGTAGAAAAATTTACCAATTGATGGAAAAGAAAAAACTGAGAGAGGATAGTACTAATATTTTCATGATTCTAAATGGACCAACATCGAAATCTTTTCCAACCACTTTTACGACTCCAACATCACTTATTCTAACACCGATCAAATGTTCTACATGCTAACTAAAGGAGGATACTCAATCTACCCAAGTACTAGATACCCCCTCGGTCCTAGGCTAAATTCAAGTTTGTTTTGGGTTTCTGTTTCAGTAGATCAAGATGCATCAAGCTTCACATAAACAAGTGGGTGTAGCTCTATTTGCATTTGTTGAAGGAGTAAATGATTTTCACAAGAAGCTCTTTTGGCTGTTGATGGTATTTATGTAGTAATGGTTATATGAATATCGTGTTTGATTTTTTTTTTTTTTTAACTTTAGGAAGATTCAACTCCAGGAAACTTCTAAGCTCGTCAGTCAGTCATAACTACTGCCACAAAAAAAGATCAATTATATATAATCAGAACCTTCAAATCAGAAATCAGAACACAGTCAACCATAAATTGAAGCTTTTTCTATATACGTAACAAATTTTCAAATGAAGTAAAAACAAGGAGGGGTTTCAACTTTCAACATCAATAACGAAGTCACGATTGACGATCATCAAATTCTTTCAACACATCAAAATCTGTTATTGAATCCAAGTGAAATACTGTATGTTTTTCCAACCAACGAAGAAATACATATACAAAGGTCTATAGTAGATAAGAGGAAACATTGTCATCTCCCCTCATTGATCTTGAGTCCAAGCATTGGCTTAAAGTCCCCGTCTTTGGGCGTCACAAAGCTCGTGGAGTAGGACGAAGAAGAAGCGCTTGTGTCTTTAGTTTGAAAGGCGCTGAAAGAAGAGCTTGAGGTGTTATCAAAACTCCAGTCAGTTAGGTAGCCTGGCTTGCAAGTTACATCATTGACCTCAACATCTCCTGAAAGCATGGCTACCACTCTTGACATCGGTGGTCTCAAGGCATAAGATGCTTGAATGCACAGCAGAGCAATGCCTATCATGCGTTTCACTTCTTCTATGTTGAACTCCATCAACTTATGATCGATTAGTTCAGCTTCACGGCTTTTCTCGTGTAGATTCCATGCCTATATACACCAAGATTATATCGGCTTATACCATTTCTAATCAAAACGTATATAACTAACAAGGACTTACCCATTCAACAAGATATTTTCTTTCATCATCCAGGCTCCAATCAGAGTTTGGTCTTCCACTCACTAGCTCAAGAATCACAATACCAAAGGCATACACATCTGTTTTCTCTGATAAGTGTCCACGCATGGCATACTCTGGCGCAAGATATCCACTACATTGGTTCCCCAATCATGTGTTATAAACTCCATAGTATTATTGCAAAAGTAGAAAAAAGTTAAAAGGGTTTGGGGATACGTACATGGTCCCTGCCACTTTGGTACTCATATGGGTTTTATTGTCATCGTATAGCCTTGCAAGCCCAAAATCTGAAACTTTTGGGAGCAGCTTAGAGTCAAGCAAAATATTGCTAGCCTTCACATCCCTGTGTACTATGCGAACACTCCCATCCTCATGGAGGTAGGCTAGACCTCTGGCTACTCCCATGCATATCTCAAAACGGGTTGACCAATCAAGATGTAAAGTGTTTTCACCTCCTGCAACATCCAAATCAGCTTGGTGTAAAATATATAAGATACATAACTAATCTTTCTGTTCGTTACCAAATAGTGCTTGGTCGAGACTTCCATTTGGTAGGTACTCATATACGAGCAAACGATGATCTCCTTCATAGCAGCATCCGTAAAGTTTTACTAGGTTGCGATGCAGAACTGCAGAAATTGTTACGATTTCTGCAACAAATTGTCTTTTCCCATGTCGGGATCCAACAGACAACACTTTCACCGCGATCTCTCTTCCATCACTCAGGTTTCCCTGTCAATATGTGTTAAATCATAACAAAAGCAAACAAGTGCATTTTGTTAATTTTTGATATGGCGCTTACCTTATAAACAGACCCAAATCCTCCCTCTCCAAGCTTGTTTGAGGGATTGAAATCTTGAGTGGCACTCTTAAGTTCAGAGTATGCAAAAGTGTAAGGCTTTACGTCCATACCAAGCAGCTCTGCAACAAAACAAAAATATATATGAACCAATATGAAAGAATATATTCAAGATCAATGGCTTGTTTATGTAGTTATGACATCTATATATACCTTCATCATCTGTATAACGTTTCCTGCTTCTTAGAATGATGAAGATAAAAACGCCTACTAAGATGCTCAAAAGTCCTAGGCCAACAATAGCACCCACAACAATACTAGTCCTATACTTTTTCTTTGATGGTGGCTTGTTAGCTACAGTTGGTGTAAAATCTGAACAACAACAATATGTAAGCAAAAGAAGAAAGAAACAAAAAAATTCAAGCAAAAGAAGAAAAAAAAAGAATTAGCTAGCTGTTGTGATACCTGGTTTTGCACTGACGGCAGATATTAGTGGCCCGTAAACACCTAGAATAGGAACACTAATTGTTCCTTTGCCAGCCCATAAAAGATGAACTTCAAGGTAATTTTCTGATACATTTGCTTTATATTCTTTCTGAACTGTTCCAACAACAGTATTTTCACCAGCTGTTTTGCGTATATCAAAGTCCTTTTCAACAAGTCTTCCCTGGAAAACACAGAGTTAGGTCTCAGAATTCAACAAGAAGATTATTATTACACCAAACAAAGTTAACTTGTAAAAGCGGGTAGGGCAGACCTGGACATAAATGTCAAAACATCGTCTTCCTAGACCTTTCCAAGAGTTAGGATCAAGAATTTTTATTTCAGCAAAGTGAAGTGTTACGGTATAGCCTCCATTTTCTAGCCCCAACCCATAATACCGTAGTGAAGATGAAGAATGTCTTGCTGACTGAAAAAGCTCTGCGTCTACAGTGTTGATAACCCATACATTATTGATTCTCTCGGCAAAAAGTCCAACACTACTGGCTGCCCATCTCTGAACATCGTTCACGAAAAATGAAGCTGCTCCAAGATTCTCGTCCTCTCTCTCAAATACTGCTCCGTTTACAGACTGTATTTGTGGGCCTCCGCAGTTTATTGAAAAATCAGAATCTAAACATCAGCCAATAAAAAAAAAAAAACACTTTAAGAAAATGTGTTTTCTTTCCAACAAGAATATACAAGCACAACGGTTATGATGATGTCTCTTTGTCACACTAACAGATTCCTTTGCCTCGATTGCAGGGGAAATTCTTCTGCAGGCACTTCAGTCCTGGTAAAATCCTTTATTCACAAATGAAAATATATTTAACAAGAAGAAAACAAGATGAAAGTGGAATTTCAGGCACCAACAAGAATCATATTTGATAAAAATCACCTCTTGTCCAGACCTTCCAAGATGAAGTTGTTAGCAACAAGGTTGCTGCACCAATTACATATAGTTTTGTTATGATTCTAATAAATAATTTGATATAAAAATATCTGACATTGAAGTACACCGTGAATATATATATAAGTACTATAGATATAGTGATTACTTTACTTACAGTTTCAAGTTTGGTAAGCTGACCCATGAAGGAAGACTACCAGACAAATCATTGTACGAAACATCTCTGGAAGAATAAAAGAAGAATGATTAGGATCTACAAGAAATGAAATATATTCCAAAACAGTTATCTGATTATATATCTTGTACAAAAGTTGAGTCTATATCATGAATTTGTAGCTTTCAAAAGATGATCAATTTTAAAGGACTTTGTAACTCACATATTGCTCAAAGTCTCAATCTTTTGAGTGGGCAAAGAACCATTCAACGTGTTGTTCCCCAAAAACCTAATATGAAGACAACAATTTTTTTTTTCATTTGGTAGATATGAACATTATAGACCTAAAAGAAGTAGAAAACTTACAAGTGAGTAAGTTGGTTTAAGTTGAAAAGTGAAGCCGGAATTGGTCCATGCAGTTTGTTGAAACTTAAATCACTGGAAAACAGAGATGTACAAATTACACGGTAACAAATTAACTTCAATGAATGAGGAAAAATGAGAAATAATAATATCAAAAATGCATGATAACAGATCATATCACTCATTTTACAGATTAGCTAGATGTATGTTGAACTTACACTTTTGTCAGATTTGAGTATTCCCCGATGTTAAAGGGTATTGTCCCAGTGAGATTGCTGTTCCTCAATTCTCTGCGACACATTTATCAATGCTAGTCAATTAAATACACGTAAGAAGGAGAGGGAATTATATAGTTCATGAATTGGAGTAGAATTGTTGCCTTACAATATACTTAGAGATTTCATTTCTTTAATGAATTCAAGAGAAGAGCTTCCATTGGATATATCACCAAGCCTCCTACATTTAGGATAGAATTATGTCGAGGAGAGAGGGAAAGACAGAGAAAACAGTAAACAAGGAATTATTCTGAAAACAATGCAACAACACATACAATTCTTTAAGAGAAGTTAAGTTGGAAAATGACGACGGTATCGGACCACTCAAACCAGTTCCGAAAATTGTCCTGTAGCAAAACATGATAGCAATCGCTGAATATCAAAGTTTAAATGTCATGAAAAATTTTCCACTAAGAGTAAAAATTACGATAAAGTAAATCTAAAAACAAGAGCAATGTAACAAATACATTAGATATATATAACCCTGCAAAAAAAATGAAATCATTCTTACAAGATCGTAAGTTTGGTCCATTTTCCTATAAATTCGGGTATCCGACCAGTAAGGTCCATATTGTGAATCCAACTGTTGCAAACAGTAAGGAAAAAATCACCTCATGGAAAAACGAAGAAAGAATGTGAAGTAATATCAACAGATTACAAAAATGTAGAAATCCAACGGTATAACTAAATGATATTCGAATTAATTAAAAAATAAAATCTTACGCGTCCTCCAACTCTACAAGATTAGCAAATGATAAAGGTATTCCCCCTGTAAGTCCAGAATCTCCTAGGTAGCTGCAAAAAATTGTAAAAAATGCTTACAACACTAGACGATGATTTTGAAAGAATATTAATTAAGTTCTCATATTTGAATTAAAACACTGCAGAAATGAATACATGAAAATAATTTAATTTGTTATACTCACAATTTCAGTAGTTTCTTACAATTCCCAATCTCAGCTGGTATAGAACCAGAAAAGTTATTTAGACCAATACCACTGCATGCATGCAGAAAATATATACAAAATAGGTTGAATAATAAGGAAATATCAAAATCTGACATATATTTATGATATTTGTTTTTAATAAGAATGAATGAAGAAGAAGAAGCATAATTAATTACAGCGATTTCAATTCTGTAAGCAAACCAATTTCCTTGGGAAAGGGGCCAGACAGGGCATTGACCCCAAAAGTTCTACAGTAGTTAAGAAACAGTTGGAGCGTGAGTGACAAGAAAGAGAGATTACAAAAAAAAAAAAAAGAAGAAGAACGTTTCATTCAATCAACAGCCATACAGCCATTCCATTCGAATCAAATTTCCAATTGCAGGAGAAATGGAGCCTGTAAGCAAATTTCGAGCCAGGTTCCTAAAAAGAAGGAGGCATGTGATTTTTTTGAATAATTAGGAGTTTTGGAGCCAAAGTCAGTCTTAATGATGATAAAGAAAAAGAATAAAGAAAAACGTAAAAAATTAAAGTCTATACAGGTTGATGAGGTAGGTCAAATTCCAAAGCTGTGGAGGTATAGGTCCTGCAACATCTTTCTCATAAATCTTGCTGTGGAAGTGAAAGAACAACATGGCAACATTCAGTGGGTTAATTCACAAATTCAGACAAAATAAAGAGAGAGAGAGAGAGAGAGAGCCAGAGAGGATGTACTGTACAGGGCGATGATGCGGCACTTTGTGAAGTTGGCGAAACTGCAATCGCATTTGATAAAAGGGTTGTAGTTTTCATCGTCGATGACGATGTCCTTGTTGATGGCGGCGCCGGAGCAAAGTTCGCCGCTGATGTTCCAATGTTCCCCCGCCTGTATCTTCCAAGCCGCGAAGATGGAGTTCAAAGCTCGCGCTGTTGTTTATTCCCACAACAAAAACGTCAGACGTCAGTTTATTTAAACCAAACAACTTGTAGTTAAGTTGTTTCGAAAACAGAGTAGAGAGACCATCTTCGGGATGAGTAGTGGCTCCGGTTCGGTTTTGAGCTTGAACCAGATGAACCGAACCAGGAATACACAAAAGGAACCAGACGGTGAGGAGCAGATACGTGGGCATCGTCGACGTCGGAGGTTCGTACTCTCTTTTTATTTTTTTGGTTCACAACAACGGTCTGTCTATCTTACTACAAGTAGAACTAAGCGTCTCCTTAAATGCTGTCTTAAATTTATTTGTTTTCTTAAATTATCTTTAGAATTAACTTAGAGCATCCTCAACACTGTCTTTTAGAGCATGTCCATTGCTGAACCCCTCAATGGGGTTCACTAAAAATTAAAATTAATTTTAAAAAAAAAAAATTGTGGGAAGAACTCAGGTGTGTTGTGGTTCCAGTAGTAAACCCAAAAATGGGTTCATCCGGAATTTTTTTTTTTGAAATTAAACTTATTAAAAGAAATAAATTTAAACACACCATTACTAAAAAAATGAAATATAATTTATTACTTATAATTTTAAACACGGCTAAAAAAGAAAAAAAAATGTATTACAAGAAAATTAAAAACATAGAACATTTGAAATATAGAAATACTTAAATCATTTAAGAAGTACCAAATTTATTCCAGATATTTTCGATTAAATCCGCTTTCAATCGTTCATGTATCTCGTTGTCACGGACTTCGTTTCGTTTCGCCATCATCAAATTTGAGATATTTGTAGGCCTAGTAGTAGAATACGTCATATCGACATGTGAATTTTCGCTTCTTTCTGCTTGTTGGAATTCTTCTAAATTGGATAGATTGTAGCGATTTCGTTCGTTTTCTACTATCATATTGTGTAATATAATAGAGGCCCGCATAATCTTGCCAATCTTTTCTTTATCCTAAAAAAGAGCTAGATTTTTAATTATTGCAAAGCTTGCAGAACGCCAAAAGCACGCTCAACATCTTTTCGGACGGATTCTTGAGCTGTTGCGAATAACTTATTTTTGGGTCCTTGAGGAAGATGAATCGATTCTATAAATGTTGCCCACTTGGGATAAATATCGTCTGTGAGATAGTATGACAAACAGTACTCGTTACCGTTTACCCAATATCTCACTTTTGGAGCTCGACCATGCAAGATGTCATCAAAAACTGGTGAACGATCAAGAACGTTAATATCATTTAACGTACCTGGAGGTCCAAAAAATGCGTGCCATATCCAAAGATCTTTGGATGCTACTGCTTCATTGTCGATTTTCCTGATCCGCGTGTATATTGTCCTTTCCATACGATAGGACAATTCTTCCATTCCCAATGCATACAATAGATGCTTCCTATCATCTCTGGAAAGCCCCGGGACTCTCCAATGTCCAGTAAGCGTCGTAGATCATCATCAGCTGTGGGTCTTCTCAAATACTCATCCCCAAACAAGGATATTATACCCTCAGTGAAATTTTCCAAGCATAACAATGCCATACTAGCACCGAGCCGGAGATATTCGTCAACTGCATCAGCTGCGGTACCATATGCCATCATACGAATTGCTGCCGTATATTTTTGTAGAGGAGATAGACCTAATCTTCCGATGGCATTTCTTCTTTGTTGAAAGTACGGAACTTCTGTGGAGAGGCGCTGAACAATATGCATGAACAAATCCTTGGTCATTCTAAAACGGCGTTGGAAAATATGTGGTGGATAGGTTGCATCATCACTGAAATAGTCATTCCATAACCGATTGTGACCTTGTTCCCTCTCTCTTTCAATATATGCTCTCTTTTTTTTTCTTTTTTTCCGCAAGCTGATTAAGAATAGAATCGAATTTGGCATCAAACCTCTGATCGAACATATCATCAAATGCATCATCAATTGCATCATCATTTGAATCTTCCCATCCATTGCTAGAAGATGCTGCCATATTTTTGGTGTTTTTATGTATGTGATAAGAAATAAATTGATGAAAAGTTTGAGCCAAAATAAGAATTCGACCAAGTAATAGTTTAAAAGCTTTTCTTGTGTTTGATGAAGAGGTTTGTGTTTAGATGAGAAAGATGTTGACAAAGAGTCGTCCAAAAAAAAAGAGTTGAGAGCAATATGAGACAGAAAGAAGATTGCAACTATGAAATAACGTACAAGTGTTAAGTCTAATATAAATACACGGGTGAATGTTACAATATGTGGCTACAAAGATAGTTGTGAACATATGGTCTCTATTACATAAGAAAATAAGCGGTGAGTTGAGAATACAACAAAAGCATTTGGCCCCTCCAATATTGGTCACGGACGTGTCAGCCAACTTGTACTGACCAAGTGGCTGTGACACAACCTGCAAAGATACGTAAATACGTCAGTAAAGAAACGTAAAGAAACGTAAGCTATATGTGGATGTAATTCACAGAAAGTAAATGGAACAACGAGGCAACATAGAAATAAACCAAAGCTATACAGAACCAAGTCTGTATTTGAAATATAGCCAAACAAGAGAAAAATGGCATACTTCAAATTTCATATATCTAAAGCCCGAACATATATAGAAATAAGCCAAAAACCCATAGCATAACAAAGTTCATAATTAAAATAACATACAAACCGAAGTTCAATACAAAGTATCATCAAACAAAGTGCATAACAAAAACCATCCTAAACAAAAGAAACTAAACATACAAATTTCATAGTTCATACCTAAAGGCCATACATAGCACTAATTAACTTGTTTTTCAGGTTTATTTTAATATCAGTAAGTGGTTCTGACTTTTCCAAAAGGCTCTCAAGAATCCTCTTGTCCCTAATCTTATCTTTCAACTCTAGATCTTTTTGTTTCATTTCCCACATGGAAGAGAACTCCTTCATGTCCTTGTTCTTGGGCTTAACACGTGATGCCTTTGCGTTGGCCTTCGATGCCTTGACTCCTGGTGGACGAACCTCGACTACATCTTCATTATCGCCTGCAGGTATGGTGGTTGAGGACTGAGCCGAGTCCTCAACCTTTCTTCTTTTCATCGACGTCACATCTTGGCTACTCGTGCACCATTTTTGGTCGTGCCTCAACTCTCGCCAGGCATGTTCGAAGGCAAACTTTATGGAGTAATCATTAAAGAATATCTCATGTGCAAGCTTCATCACATCGTTTTCATTCTGACCGCTTGATTTCTCCTTCAGCGCAGCCGAGTATGATTCCACAAACTTGCACACCTGATCATTTATACGCCCCCAGCGTTGCTTATACTGAGACCACTGTCTCCTTGGCAGTCCTTCAATATCTTGGCTTGCGTTGTAGTATAACTGAATCCGCTTCCAGAACGATCCTAAATGCTGTTCATTACCGACTATCGGGTCCTTCGAAGTGTTGAGCCACGCGCTTATGAGGACCAAGTCTTCCTTCGGCGACCAGATTTTCCTCTTCAGCGCAGTATCAGGAGGATCATCAGATCCTTGTGTACTAAACAAAGGAATGTCTGATGATCCAACTAAATCTATGCAAGGCGAGTACGATTCAGGGTTCAACTGACTGGTTAAAAGGTTGACAAACCCTTCCGAGTGGGTAAAAGAGTTCTGAGAATCCATAAAAAGATTCAAAGCTACGAAAGGGAGTGAAAGAAAGAAAGAGTGGATGAGAGTAAAAGAAAGAAGAAAGTTACAGAAATTGAACAATGTAAACAAAAAAAGAGAGTGAAAAGAGTGACCGAGTGTTTTTAAAGAGTGAGGAAAGAGTTAAAGAGTGAGGAAAGAGTTAAAGAGAGAGGAAAGAAAGAGTGAGTCAAAGATAGTCTTTTATATTTAAAATTATGGTTGAGTATCTTTTAAATTATGGTTGACAGTCTTTTCTGTGTCTTTAAGGGTGAGTCTCTGTTAGTTTTAATGACATAGTAGGTGAGAGTCTTTTAATCAGGGTTTTCAAGTTCTCGGAAAAATTGTAAATAAGTTTGAACAGGTTTAACTACCATTTATCACACAACCTAAACCTAACATGTCATATCAAGCATTCATAACCACTCTTAAAGCTAACAACACCAATGTACCATTTTACCAACTACATTAAACACAACGAGGCTAGTTACAAGAGAACGTTTTTACTGGGTGAGCCGCATGCCTTAAAGTAAACCATGATCCGTTGAAGTCCATTAAACGTTATCCTCACAAAAAAAAAGATTAAAAGACCCCATTAAAACAAGTACATTACTACAGCCGAATGCAACTAAACATAACCCTAAACAACTACAATACATGAGCCATCCCTAAACCCTAAAGATATACGCAATAGCCGCAATAACACTAATGTAAATCAGCATCGACAAACGGTCACCTGGAGTACCAAGCTGCTCCTTCAAACTCCGCACTTCTCCCTGAAGCCTTGCTAGCTCTTCACGGAGTTCTCCTATTGCCTGAGGATCAGGGCTTTCTAGCTATTCAGTGTTGATTCTACCCCGATCAACACTGAGGATCAGGTCCTTCTGGTTTTCTATCCTGGTCGCGAGAATCTCGCACTGTTCTGTAACTGCGTCGTCCCACCATTGGTGCATGTGATCAAAAGTGCCCTACATTGATGACAAACTGTTAGCAAATAATAATGCATGAACTCGTTGAACTTCAAACCCGAATAAATGAAGACCTGAGGAAGACAGAAAGATCACCTCGTTTATCCATTCCGGGCAAGCATAATACTTGCGACTGACTTTGTTTGCTTTGAGCTTGATTACTCGGCCACAGAAACACTTCTCGGGTATGCCGTAAGTCGTATCCGCGTAAGCCCAGTAGGGGACCTCCTCCTCTGAAGAACCACTGCTGTAGCTTGGCATTATCTGTCAACAAAAAAATTTACGATCAGTCAGCTACAACATAAACATACACATGTGAACATCAAGCATGAAAACAAAGATATTACCAAGTAGTCTACACTACAGATCATGTAAACATCAAGAAAATTTTAGTTCATAATCGACAATGGCAAACATATATAAGATGATCATATCATATCATATAAATCTAACATGATACATGATAAACCATCCAAGCATATTTACCCGATGAAACATAATCATCTTCGACAATGGCATTCAACTCACATATGCAACACATAAATCAACAAAGATTAAGATCAGTACGCAACAACCTAAACATACACTTGAAACAAAGTTATTATCAACTAATAATAATGCATGAAAACAACCTAAACTACCGATCATGAAAACAAAGTTATGATCAACTAACACTACAGTTGGGTTCATCATCGATAATGGCAACCATCTTCAAACATCTACTAACATATTAAACATCCAAGCATATGAACCCGATCAGTCATAATCATCTTCAAACATATTCAACACACAAATCAACAAATTGCAAAAACCCTAATTTCATCGATAAAAAATTCAACAAGTCAATCATATACCGTGAAATCGTATGCCAAATAGGGCTACAGCGGTTCAAAATCAATGTATTACACCCAATTAGACCCCAATTGCAACAAAAAATGAAAGCCCCAAATTTCCCCCAAATTACATAAACCCTAAAATTTCATCGATGTAAATTTTGTTTCGAATCTTCCAAATACAAGACGCATAATCTATTCTCGGGTTTCAAATAGGTGTCGGGACTCGTAATCCACCCTATTCCCCCCCCCCCAAAAACACCGATTAACCAAAAACAAAAATTTTCCCCAAAAAATCGCTAACCCTAATTTCTTGAAATTAATCGAAACGAATCGAAACGAAAACAGCTGAAAGATGATAACAGAAGTTTACCTTGACAATATGAACGGTTGCGCGATTCTCGGATGAGCACTTCACCGGGAAATTTTTCCGGTTTCGACGGATGGGTGAGAGTCGACGATAATCGCGTGGAGAAGGGAAACGGAGAAAAAAAACTCGGGAAAAAATGAATTTTTGGCCCTCCATTTTTTTCCTTCCCGAAAATTACTCCAATCCGTCGTCCACTCACGTCACGCCATGTCGATAAGAGGCGGGTTCATCAGGATCGTCCGGATGAACTGATCCGTCGATTTTGGGTTTTAATTCTATTTTTTTAAACCCATTAAATTCTATGAACTCGAGCCTCATTCTTTCGACGATCCTGCGATGGACATGTTCTTAAGCGTTTTTAACAGAAATTGATTAATATAAAAATTGAAATGGATTTGGTTAAATACAAAAACCTTTCTTATTTGGAGACAATTAAAAATGTTTTTTTCTGCCACATGTCAGTTTTTGATTGGTCAGAAAAAAAATTCTTCTTTTCTTTTTCTTCTGTTTTTTTAACCAATTTCTCTCTCTTTCTTTTTTATATTTCTCAAATTTAATAATAAAAAAAATCAATAAAAAACTGATTTGACTTTCAGCGTTAAGGATGCTCTAAGTTCATTGACTTGTATATGTACCAAGCAAAAGATGATAAGGGGTCCACCGTAACGATCCAATTACAATTAATTTCAACCCAAGTTTTTGTGTCAGCTACTGTTTCTTTGGCTTTGTCATTTTCCGTGGCTCTTTCCTCCATCTTGATGATATTTTGGGAATATGCACTTAATGGTCAAGAGAGACTTGTGAATATGCAAATGTTTTTGTGGAATAAAAGACTTTTGAAAACTTGTTGAAATTTCTCTCCTAAAGGGAAAGACTTGTGAATATGCAAATGTTTTTGTGGAATTAAAGACTTTTGAAAACTTGTTGAATTTTCTTTACTAAAGGGAAAGATCACTTGTGAATATGCAAATGTTTTTTTTGTAGAATTAACCCTTGTTTATAACCTATTCTGATAAAAATGAAAAAGTTAGTTAGTGATTTTAGTTTTTACTTACGACTTCTAAAGTTGGTGGATCGAAGTGAGGATTTTTATTTTATTTTTAAAGGTTCATCAACAAAAATAAAACTGTATGATTTAGTTTGTTGTGTTTTTTTTTTAATTTTTGTATTGGGGCTTATTTGCAAAATAGTTACATATATTGAAGTATGATATAGAAGACGAAACAGAAGAAAGCTCTTCCCTCGATCTTAAAATCGGGCTCAGTGAGGAGTTTCCAGAACGATACTGAGAAGAAATCTTGGACATGGTTGAAAGGGATGAGAACCACCCAAGTAGGCCATGACGTGTTTATTGATTTCCCAGGTATAATTCACTATTCAATTGGGTACCTTTTCAAACCCTTTCTATGGGCAGGTAGCAGATGGCCACACAGTTCTATGATGGACCAGGAGATATAAGTCTACGTATACGATATGATATATACGATTGGCAAAAAAAGATGGAAATAAGTGAAAGTCTATCTAAAACAAAACAAAAAACCTCTCAGGTTCGAGCATATGTAATCACTAATCACTTATCATTTTATGTAATTAACATGCGATAATCAATGAACATATGACATATTTAACACAAATGCAGTTTCCTCTTATGGTTTTTGGTATTATATATCACGCGTGCATGTTATCGCATGCATGTTATATTGAATTTCCAGATTTTTTCATGGTGAGCACTGAGCAGGTCGGATATGAGATTCATCTCGATTTAAAACATTCTGGCACTGTTGCATTGGCCACTGGTGGAGAAAATCTCGATGCTTCCCAAGTATCCCAAATCATTTTACTTGAATTAATTACCAAGTTTATGATGGTATATCTTGTTAGAATAACTATCAGTGTGTTGTGGATCAAATTTTGTGATGTGGTATGTCCTCATGTGACTTGTCTGTTTTCTTACTTTTTTCTTTTTTCTTTTTTTTTTTTACTAGGATAAATGAAGCTTATGTTAATTATGAGAAAAACAGACCATTTAAGAACATTAGAATCAAGCACACTTATATTCTTGAAGAGATCCGTTTGATGATCCCCCCAAAATTGGCTGAGATGATACCGCATTCCAATAGATGGCATAAGCTCTTCCACGGTGCACATGACATATTGACATGTACCTGTTCTCCTCTGCAATGAGATGTAACCAGCAGTAATTTAGATGAGTATTTAAGTTTAACTAACCTAACAAGATACAAAGTCATATTCATAACATGCTTTTAAACCCATAAATCTCAGACACTATCTTATACGAAGTGAAGCACTAGAACATTTCAAAAATGGGTATTTTACTTCTTCCATAACACAGGCCCAACCGAAGACCTATAACCCAACCACCAAACTAAACCCTTTAAGAAATCTTACTTTTCTCTATACTAAATTGCTGATCGTAACCAAAAAGATAAACCCTTTTACCCACCGTTACTTTCAAACATATAGCCCATGACATACACGCATATACATAACATATACATGGTATGCACAATTATAATCTGTTTTATATAATACATAGAGCGGCTTGGTGTTGTAATACCAACTTTTATATCTAGATGATAATGATGTCTTCCTGAGACTCGTCGAGAGCGAAACAAGTCTCATCACCGCCGGTGTTCCACAATTAAGAAATTAGCAGCGTAGTTCCCATATTGATGCAAAATGTAGATTTATTTAACGTGGTGACAGAAAATGTAGCCAGTTTTATTACATTTCATATGTAATCTCTTTCGCTATGAAAGATTAGTGTGACAAATCTTTGTATAATCCCACATATCCAAAATATAT